ATTGTGTTGTTGTTTATAAAGCTTTTCATATTAGAAGTGTTATTGAATATAAAAATAATAATCATGAAATAGCTATAAAGTCAGTTAATCCGCCTTAAAAGCAATATTTTGTAAAGGAGTTAAAAATTATTAGCGATATTTCAAGAATCCCATATAGTGTTTACTTGATGATATACATAGTCCCATACAAATTTTTTATGCCTGTAAAGATAAAAAAGAGATAGTTTTAAGATTAATGCCATGAATACTAAAGACTTTTAGCTTCAGCTTCAATATGGGTCGGTTTGGAATCGAATTTACATTCTTTTGTAGGCAGTAGTTTGGTTTGCATGCCAAGAGGAATTTCTTATTTAATTACTAAAAAATTAGATAGCATGCAGATAGTCTTACATAAGTATACTTCCCCCCTACCAAAAGAACGCTATTCGTAAACGTAAAAGTCTTACTGTAATAATAGTGAAAGGGCCACTGCTCACCTACTTTCTGTGAAATCAAATAAGTAAGCTAAATATTGAGACAGAAATTTGGAGGACGTGCACGAAAGCGTCAGGATAATTTTCTACATCGAATCAATTCCTAAATCAAGAAATCGTTAGTTGTCTGTCTAACTGCTTTCAACAAACCGGCAAAAGTTAAAATGCTCCAAAGGAGAAGTTCGGAAGATTTATTTCTTCTGTGAATACTTTCCAACGCGTTTGAGTGACTGACATGTACAGGCAATCACAAACGATGCGACTTAATGTATTATATGTATCTCTTGTGGAAGTGAGTGTATGTATGTATGTATGTACATATATGTATGCTGTAGCCGTGAAACTTTCACAAACTGATTGTCTCGTAAATTTGTTGGCAGGGGAAAAGTAAACAACAACAAAACAGTTCAAAACAAGATTTCAACACTATTGTAGATGCATATAGAGCAAGTGGGTATCATAAAATGAAGGTAAGCTGGGGATGATGTTTGCCAAAATGTTTAGATGGATGCTGTCTTCTCTGGTCGTTGGCCGCAGTTTACTCAAATATTTTGAAACACGTGCAGAAAGTGAAATTATAGATGGGCAAAAGCCGGCATGTAAATGAAATGGCTTTCAATATGATAAATGTTAATAATTGAAGTTTTATTTCCACTCTCTTAAAGGTTGCCTAAGTGCTGAAAATCTAACTATTGTTTAACATTTGTCATACGCTTTAGTTATGACTCTTTGACTGCTCAATTATGAAATTTCAACTAAAAAAGTCGAAGAAAAAAGGCCATTGCTCAGCTGCTTTTGCTGAAGATTTCGTTGTTTTAAATGTATTCCTTCCTTTACTTTGACTAACTTGCCTTGGCTGGTTATATTCATATATAGCGAATTCTTCCACACACTTGCTGCCGCTAACTAGCTCTATTGGCTAGCTAACTGGCTAATAAATGGACAACAACTATTTCACGTTTCTTTGTTGTGTTCTTTCATTTCTTCAAACTGAACAATTACTTATACTTATACGTCTTGCTAGGTTATGTTGTTCTGACTGCTTTTATTTCACATCGTTTCTGCAATTTTTCTTTTGTTTGCTGTATTATTTTATATTTATTTTTGCTTGACTTTTTTATCATCTCTTTACAAATTTTACGACAATTTATTACCCTTCGCTTATTTTCTCATCTTCGTCGTCATCAGCCACGTCCTGGAATAGCGCGAGTCTTGATTCAACTCACAACGTCGTCATTCTCATCGTCGAAGTCGTTGTCATGTTGCCGTTGATGCCAGTACAATTTCGCTTGCTACCTTGCTCGTCTGACCGTCGTGTTTATTGTGTCGTTTCTCGCTGCTATCCAGACGATAGTTGACTTTTCCATTTCGAAGTAGGAAGCTGCTGGCAACGAGCAGTCAAAAAGGTAGACGACGTTTTGTTTAGCGGTAGCTAAAGATGATGTGAATGCTGACGACTTTGAGGAAAACACTGACAATGCCAACAGAGATGTTGTCACACCAACATCATAGTTTGGTCAACACAAAAACATTTAACTCCTGCTCCCTTGCAGTCTCGGAACGTGTCCTTTTCCGTTTCCTAGAACGTACAATTTAACAAATTAGTTTACAGATAAGCTAGCGACAGCAACAGAGAGTCAACTAGCATTTGAGCATTACCAACGCATATTATAAAACTTACTTTATTTTCATTATTTTTCTGTGTATTGTTTGCCAAGTAAGATACATTTTATCCCAAAAATTCTGACAGCAATTTTTGCAACTGCTTCTTTATGTGGCTTTGACGGTGTGGTAGCCAACAGTTAATATGTATCGAAGTGTGACCTCAGGAATTTCACACAATTGAAAAATCTGATTGTCACCCTGCGTACTTAAGGGTCTATCACCTACCAAATAACACTTTCCTTTTAATATTATTATATATATAACACAATGTGGCATCGATGATTTGTTCAATTTTTATATAATCTGAACTGATAGATAGCTATAATGATTTTTTTATGAATATTAAATCGGTATATACATTTTGAACTTAAATATACACGAAAATAACATAAGCATCACATGTTGGGTATTTGTTTAATGTACGTTTGTAATCCTGGAGTTGTTGTCATTTAAGCTTAGATCATAGCATTGTACTCAGCTTGTTGCAAAAGGGGAAGGGGCTAGCAATTGTGGTAGCAATAATTAAATAAACGATAACTTAGATGAAAATAATGCATTGAAATTTTCTACACCCATTTACTATTCAATACATTACGTCTACAAAATGAGATAAGAATTTTCGTTATATGTCTTTTCATGCTTTTTCAACGCACAAAAACGTACGTGCTTTTTTATAACTAAAATACATATTCACACACATTATGGATACTACTGCTACATAGCCCTGAAAATTTCGAAACGATACGCCTAAAAGTCGACAACAATAATTTTGTACTGCTATCAAAAAGTTTGACTGCTGAAACTCCCTCCGCTGCTTGATGTGGTTAAGTTACCCGCTTACAGTTGTGAAACTTATCAACAAATAATTGAAGTTAAAAATGTAAAAACAAAAACAACATGCCTCGCACATTTCTCGCTTATATTGTAGATAATTTAAGAACACAGCACAAATTGCTACAATGCGAATCATAAGGCACTCCGCCACCAGTCAAATCAAGCAAAAAGTAGCACAAATTGCTCATAATGGAAACTGAATATGTAGCACGAGGCATCTTTTGCATTTTAATATATATAGAAACATATGGATAAGTTTGTTAGAATTAAAGGAGAACGCTTTCTACTTTACATACATGCTATGTAAATACACATACTACATATGCATATATCGAAAAGGTTATTGTCTATTGAAGTATTACCCTTCATACTTAATTAATATTTGTATTAAAGATTTTATGAGTTATTTAACGGTTGTTTGCGTTACCTAAAACTAATCGAGATAGATATCGAGTTATATATAAAGATATATAAATTATCAGGATGACGAGCCGAGTTGAAATCCGGGTGACTTTATATCCGACTTTGAAAAGTCATAACTAAGCCGCAAATATAGATACAAAACTATAATTTGGTACAAGAGATCGCAGTAGTACGGGGCACCTGTATGCTTAATTAAATAATTTTTGAAGTGAGCGTGGCTTCGCCCTCCAAATGGTTTATTGTACATATCTTCCAAACCGCTTAAGATATATCAAAAAAAAAAAAAAAAAAATTGCTGGTTATGTTGAAAACTAATAAAAGTACGATTACTCACTGATTAAAAGAGTTACAAGCATTAAAATTCACAACCAGTTTTGTGGGGAAGGGCGTTATAGGATCTGGTGTGACACTTGTGTGGTGTTACCCAGACATTCCTATTAGACACTGGAAAAGTGGGCGAAATCGGATGACAACCACGCTTAATTCCCATATAACAAAATCAATTCTATCTGATTCTTTTGCTTTACAGTATACAAACCATACATTAATAAAGTCATCAGAATAAAACTTTGCACAAATAGTGCCCTCGAAGTATTTCATCTTACGTCCAAATCACACTATAACTTGTGCCCCCATATACCTAACATAAATGTTTCCCAATATCTAAGAAATCTTAATGAAAATCAAGTTAATTATTCTCTATAAGACGACTCGAAAATCCTCACTTGAGTCTTGTTTTTTCAATAAATCCACGGAGGTAATCCTTTAACACGGAACTTGAAAACAAGAGAAAATAATGTTAGAAAATAACCCAGCTTTAAAATGCTGAATGAAATAATTTCTAAATCTAAAATCAATATGCTGAATCTGTATACTATTGTAAAGCCTTTCTAAAACAATAAGGTAACAATATATTTCGGCTTCAAACCTTGCCATCGTCCATGCGTCTCGCGTGTGGCTGATGATAACAGGCAGCTGGCTAATAATGTTGGCAACACAAAAGTCTACATGGGGACAACAGCTTTAATCTACGAGGTATACATAATGCCAGCAATGTGGTTTGGCAGCAGCGCCTGAATCCCAGCGAAAATACATACATCACGTTGCGATGTCTGTCCATTGAACCATATGTACGAGTACATGTTCTGCTAGACTCTGATAAAGGACAAAGTTTTATGCTCATGTCCCAAGCCAATCTTTTGGCGAAGTGAACGTTTTTTGTACCTCATACGCTCCCCCTTCCAGTTTCAAACACCGCAAATGTTTGAAGTTCACTCGCTATATGAGCACTTCTTCTTATATGTACATACCTACATGTGTATATTAGCATGTGTGTATATAAGCATGTATAGGAGTGTTTATGGCTTTCATTGGCTTATTGTCGCGCTTTTCTCTTAATTTCGCCTCAGTCGATACGGTTTTTTGCCTTTCGTAGTAATTTGATACTGACTTCATGTGTAATTCAAGTCGGGCGTTTCATTTCTTTCATAGCATGTTAGCTTTTTTGGTACTTATCGCTTTCTCCTAGTTGCGACATTATTGCAGAGATTAACTTTAATTAGACCCAAGAAAGTGATTTATTTTGATGCGTTTTTTTGTTTGCAGTGATCGCTTTGGTAAGCAACGAGGAACACGCAAGACATAGACAAGTCTATAGCGGATAACGCACATACATATGTACAATAATAAGTCTTGATATGCCTGAAAGCTTATTCTGCCTGATGACATCTTAGCATGTGTCTTCGGTGCTGGGAATCCACGTAATTCATGCGAAGTAGTCGCCTGCGTAAATGCCTCCTATGATTTCGTAATAAAAAAGAGGTTAGATACACCAATGTGTAGGTAAAAGTTAAGAATTACTTACATATTATTTAAGTGGATGTGGATATCGATTAATATTCGATATATAATAATTTCAGCTTTACTATTTTCGTTTACTGAGAACTCGCTACTACAAATATTTTGATATTGCAAAAGTTGCTCTATAATTCACAATTTAAGCGAAAGCAATATGAGCAATGTGTTAAAGATTTTCCTTCATTTGGAAGTTGAGAAAGTAATATAAGACAGCAAAAAATAAAGCAAAACAAAAAATTACAACAGCATACAAATAAAACAAACAACAAAAACACAACAGCATACAAAAACACGAAGAAACCAAGTTGAAAGAATAAGCAATGTACGAAGCATATGTTGGACTTATGAACATCAGTCAGGATTAGAGGTTAGTCCATTGTTAGCAAAGCCAAGAAAAGCTACATTAACAACAGACCAAGGCAACTACAAATAAAGTACTAAAGGGCAGATGAGAATTAGAATAGCTGAAAGGAAATAGTTGCTTCTCTCGTTTTTCTTTATTCTCGCTTACTGACTCATAAGGTTACGATACTTTCACATATACCAACTGTTCGTTTTCACATATGTTATATGTAGTATATCTTAAGGAAGCCGACTTGATATGCATATATGGTAACTTATGTTGCTGCATGTTATTTTATGTATATTTATATTTATATGTATGTAATGTTAAGGTGGTTCTTTTTAAGTGCATGCATTTGCTTCTAAAGCGCTATTGGTAAGCGCATACCTTATTATTATATTGGATAGATATATTACCGAATGAAAAAAAATTATTTATTTTATTACTTTATACATTTATATACGTACAACTTTGATTCGGTTTCTACAAAAAATGTGAATTTGAATCCGGGTCGACCCCTCTCATCGATCTTCTTTATTTGGTTTCTGCAACGAATTGCAAACTTCTTTCGTTTTCAAATTCCCTTCTGTGTTCGTTCGAGTACGATTTGGCGCGGTCATCTGGGAGTTTAATATCAAATTTACAGTAAATATGTAATTATTTTTTTAATACTCCTGGGTTTTTGATAAATCCTCCTTATTTTATGGTGTTGTTGTTAAAACCAATTTCTCAATCTAGTGCCTATTTTTATGTGATATTTTATCAAGTATTTCTCCACACTCTCGTTATATATGTATATCGAATATTTGATATATTATATACTTGTATAGTTTCATATCAAACTCGCTTGGTTTGCATAAAATCAGAAGAAATATTATTTATGTCAACAAGGCAAGCTACTATAATCTTGAAATCCAAAAAAATATAAAATATAATAAATTGCTACACATGCACACAGAATGAGCTTGGAGAAATTATTGGTAACTGTTGGTAAATGTTGTGGAGGCTTCATCACGCCGCTAGTCTGATTGCGTGCAATTGCTGTTGTAATTTCACTCCAATTAACAATTTACAGTTACGGTATCAACGTCGTTCAACCAACCATCGAAGGGGGAGGAACCAGCATATGTAGTGGATTTGTAGCGGTATGTGCTGCTTCACCTCCTCTAGACCATACGAACTACACCGACATAGTCATTCGCGTGCATGTGTGTGTGCGCAGTGTTTAATTACGCTGCCGCACATACATGTGTGCACAAACTGGCAAATTGTTCGACAACAAAAGAGTGCTGCGCTCTTGACATGAGCTAGGATCTGAAGCGCTGCTCAGCGCTTACGAGCGATACAATGATGCTCGCGGGTGTACTCAAAGGCGCCAGGGAGTATTGTTTCTGCATTTTCGCTCCCTTTAATTGCATAGGTTATTTTTGTTGCTTTATTTTCGTATAACCGGTGTCAAGTGCATCAAATGCTGCTGTCTGTTGGCTGTTCTGCCGTTTCTGCCTTTTAGTTTCCGCATAGTTTCGATGCCGCCTTACTCAATGTTTGCATTGTTGCAGCAGCTGTTTGACTACTCCTGCTCACATACATGCAGACTTACATTGTTTTATTAGAGCAACAGTAGCAGCGTTCGCCCGATCGCTCCCGCTCCCCCACAGACATGCAGAGTTCGCACTGCAATCCATCCAATTCACGTTCTTCACAATATTTTCTTGTTGCTGCAAATCCGTACGTGTTTGTCTGCGGTTTTAGTATTTTTGGTAAAGCTTCACATATAGCACAATGGAATAACAGTAAACAATTTCTTGTGTGTATATTTGCCGAAGTGCTTCATTTGCAATTAAGCTTCAGCTTTTCTGCCACTGGCAGCTTCTACATCTACTTAGTAACCTCAATGGCTGAGAGGAATACACTTCACACTCTCTACTACAAGTTTGCTTCAAATACAATCGCAATTGTACCGTTGCCATCTCTGGATGTAACCCAATGCTTTAAAGTTTATTAAAAATTGGGCAAATACTTGAATGTGCGTACTGTTGTCGGCTGAGAATTTTTTAATATCCAAGAAAGTATGTCCGTTACGTACTTTCAGTTAACCTATTTAGCACAAAGGCAGTCTTGAGAGTTGCAAGGACAATGTGGTGGTCTCCGAAAAACAATCTTACGCCTTCATAGAATCACAACACTTATTTAACATTTTTAGAAGTAATTGGCTGTATTGATACATTTTTTGTTTCTTTTTTCAAAATGCAGCACAGCGAAATGAAAAACAGCGATGCTCATTTAAATTTAAAGTCGTTACTGGAACTGAAAAATATTAAATTTTGCTTAATGTTCGCCAATATGCGCTCGTTTTGCTGGTTTGGGGTAGTTGACTGTTTTCTTGTTCTATTTAATCATTGAATAATATTTTAATTATTGTTTTAATTATCCAGATATGAGTTAGGTTACTTTATACACATTAAGTTTCTATGTATCTATTATCTCTACACAGCCGCTTTTAATACAATTGATCGTTTATGCAATTAACGCCAGGGATTAGTGATGTTTATCGTACTCTCTACGTTCTATTCTTTAAAAATGTATTTATAATTTTATTTCTGTCTTTTATTCTAACGTGTTTAAAGAAGTTCGTGGTCAGCAATTCCTGTTTATTGATATATGTATGTATTAATGCATTTTTGTAGGTGTTGGTATGCGTTTATTGCAAATTTTTGCTTGTTAGCAAACAAATTTATGTAGTTTGCGTTGTTGCTTTTTCATTGTGATCATTTCACCACAACGATGTGGTGAACTGACGTGCATAGCACATAAACTACAAGGAGTACATTACATCCATTTATGTACTTCCTCGACAAGTTACTGCTATTGTCATATTTTTTGCTTCAATGTGTCTGCTATATACGAGTATATGCTTATGTCCATTAAGCGCTCCAATTTCGGTGGCTGTGCGATGTGTTGAAATTTATTGAGTGTAAAAGGTAGTAGTGAAATGTTGCATTAGTGCAACTTCCGCATTTGGCAAGTGGATGATGATTGCTTGTTCGTTAAAGTATTGACGTAACACATTGCTTCCTTTCACTATTTATCCCTGCTTAATCTGTCTTTTGGGAATAGAGTGTTTCACTCACTTTATGTTATGCTTATATGGCATATTTAAGCTTACAGGAGAACACAAATTTTTATAGAGGTTTTGTCAACATGTGTTAAGGGAGTTTAAAATACGTAAAGTTGTGATAAAAAAGGACTTTAAGAAATCTTCCATATTAAAAAAATGTGGGAAACGGTTGGCCTCAAGGGCCATCCCTGCAACTCCTCTAATTTCATACGCTAACGTTCAAATTTCGCTTTTTTCACTGCTTTTGAGCTCTTCGAAATTTTTCGTTTTCGATATCTAGCAAGTAAATCAACCGATTTCGACCCGGTTTGCGGCAAACGATGTGTTTCTTCAAGGTTTAGAACTGATTAGTTTTTGGTGTCGATCGGTCAAGTCGTTTGGAAAAAATTCGAAAAAAACGATTTTTCAAAATTTTTATTTTTGAGATTTCTCGAAATCTACGGGTCCGATTGGGTCCAAACTTACACGAAATTCAAGTGCAATGAAACCCTTTGCCGTTTAGTTTATTCAAATCGGTTGAGCAGTTTAATAGTTATAAGAGGGTCACATACATCCACACACACACACATACATCCACACATACATACAGACATACGGACATCATCGTAGAAATGTTCGGGGAAGCTTCCTCGACCCTCAGAACGTCGAGATCTGTTGAGAACTCGATTTTTGCAAAATGGGGTGAAACCAATATCTTCCCGATTTTTAGAAAATTTTCCATTTTCTTAGCGGGAAGTTAAAAATACTTATAAAATGTACAAACACTATCTTTATGTCTAACTCTTACTTAATTTATAACAAAAGTATAGTAAAACAATATAAATCGTTAACTTCGGGGCACCGTAGCTATAATACCCTTCACAAAGGGAAATTTTTCTATGCAAGAATGGGACTTTGATCGGTCAGTTCTTATGATCCAATATCGATGGTTCCGACAAATAAGCAGCTTCTTAAGGAGAAAAGGGCCAGTGCAAAATTTTAGATCGTTTAATAAAACTGAAGGACTAGTTCGCGTATATGCAGACGGACATTTATATATATTTCGTAGGGTCTCCGACGTATCCTTCTGTGAGAACAAACTTAGTATACTTTGTTCTGAGTATAAATATGTGGAATTGCTTGTCTTTCATAAATTAATGGTAAAGGGTCGTATAGATACTTATAGCTATCAGCTAGTTAGAAAATCTTCAATTGCCTTCTCAAGAGGTGGAAATTCTTTATATAACTATATTTAAAGATATTGATTTTTTAGAAAACTTTAATTCTACTAAAGTCATTAACAACTTACATATATGTATAGAATGAACCTCCAACATTCTTCATGTGAACATTTTTTCACCGTACAATTCCCTTGTTGCCTGAGGTCACTGCAGATTAAACGTGCTGGCAAATTACACAAATAACATTAAGTGGCAAATTTCCATTAGACATTGTGTCGACTGCCGACTTGAAGTGATCAGGGACTCTCAGGGAGCACATTCGTTCAGTCTTTAGATGTCGTTT